CCGGGGCTGGTGCTGAGGAGCAGGGGGATCCGGGCCGGTACCGAGGAGCAGGGGGATCCGGGCCGGGGCCGAGTCCGAGCCCCAGGGCCGGTACCGAGGGTCTGAGCCCCGGGCCCGTCCCGAGGCGCGAGCCCCGGTGCCGGGCGGGCCCTGCCCGCGGCGGTGCCGCCCGTCGGGGCGGTGTCGGGGCGCGGGTCCCTCCCCCGCGGCGCGTCCCCCTCGCGCCGCCCGCCCGCCGCGGGGCCCACGCGGGAGCGGCCCGCGCGCGATGGCCCCCGCGCCGCTGCTCGCCGCCGCCTGCCTCGCCTGCACCCTCGCCATGTTCGGCACCGGCCTGTGAGCCCGGCACCGGCACCGGCACCGGCACCGGCACCGGCGCCGCCCACACCCGGAGCTGCTTCCGGGAGCGGCGCCGCCACCGGCGGCGGGGGGAGGGAGGCGGCCGGGAGCCGCGGGGCAACCGGGAGCGCACGAGGGAGCCCGGGGGGCGGCGGGGGACGGGGCTGCAATGGGGCAGGGCTGGGGACACTGGGGGTGCAATGAGGAGGACACTGGGGGCACTGGGGGTGCAATGGGGCAGGGCCCAGGAGCACGGGGTGCAATGGGGCAGGGCCCAGGGGCACTTGGGGTGCAATGGGGCAGGGCCCAGGAGCACGGGGTGCAATGGGGCAGGGCCCAGGGGCACTGGGGGTGCAATGGGGAGGGCACCGGGGCTGCAGTGGGGCAGGGCCTGGGGGTACTGGGGGTGCAATGGGGAGCACACTGTGGCAGGGGCTGCCCTGGGGGCTTAGGGGGCATGGGGGGGGCTATCATATGGGGGTTGCAATGGGGAGGGCATCGGGGCTGGCTCGGGGGGCACCGGAGGTGCTGGGAGTGCAATGGGGCAGGCCCAAGGGGGTGGACACATGCAATGGGGCAGGCCTGGGGGCAGTGTGTGCAATGGGGCAGATCCAGGGGACACTGCAGGGACATTGGGGTCACACTGGGACAGGCTGCCGTGGGGGGCATGGAAGGGGGCACAGGGGGCGGAGGCTGCAATGGGGCCTGCAGGAGGGGGCTGTGCAGGAAGGCACGGATTGGRCTTGGGGGGCAGAGGGTCAAACCTGTGCCTGGACTGGGGGCCCCTGTGTGCGGAGGGTCCCTGGGCCCCCCAGCATCCCCGCCGCCCCCCAGCTCCGACCTGCGGCAGATGCTGGCGACGCAGAGCGTGGAGAACATCCAGTTCCTGCCCTTCCTGGCCACGGACGCCAAGTACGGGGCCGGGGTGGGGGGCAAAGGGGTCCGGTTGGCACCCGAGGCGGTGCCAGCGCCCCCCGTGCCCGCAGCAACCTGGGCTGGCTGGGCTACGGCTGCCTCAAGCGGGACCCCACGCTGGTGGCGGTGAACGCGGTGGGCGCCGCGCTCAACACCCTCTGCGTCCTGGTCTACCTGCGCTACAGCCCCCACAAGGTGGGGCCCGTTTTGGGGAGGGGGGTCGCGGTGCCCCCCGCAGTCCCCCCCCCAAAAGCACCCCTTTTCCCGCAGCGCCGGGTGCTGCTGCGGAGCCTGGCGCTGCTGGCGCCGCTGGCCGCCGGCTACGGCTACGCGGC